GAAATGGGACACTAGAACCCATATGATTAAGAGGTGGAGGAGGTTCTTTATCCCTGGCCATAACTATCCTTGGTAATAACTGTATCCTTGGTTTTAACTGTATCCCTGGCCAATTACTGTATCCCTGGCCAATTACTGTATCCCTGGCCAATTACTGTATCCCTGGCCATAACTGTATCCCTGGCCATAATTGTATCCCTGGCCATAACTGTATCCCTGGCCATAACTGTATCCCTGGCCATAACTGTATCCCTGGCCATAATTGTATCCCTGGCCATAACTGTATCCCTGGCCATAACTGTATCCCTGGCCATAACTGTATCCCTGGCCATAACTGTATCCCTGGCCATAACTATCCCTGGCCATAACTATCCCTGGCCATAACTGTATCCCTGGCCATAACTATCCCTGGCCATAACTATCCCTGGCCATAACTATCCCTGGCCAAAACTGTATCCTTGGCCATTACTATCCCTGGCCATAACTGTATCCCTAGCCATAACTGTATCCCTGGCCATAACTATCCCTGGCCATAACTATCCCTGGCCACAACTATCCCTGGCCACAACTATCCCTGGCCATAACTGTCTCCTTGGCCATAACTGTATCCATGGCCATAACTGTATCCCTGGCCATAATTTTATCCCTGGCCATAACTGTTTGTGCCATACTCTGCAACACAATATAAGACTATCATCTTGATAGACAGACAGTTGCTAATGATGACATTTTTGAACAAGAAAGAGATTTTCAATGAACAACAAAAGCAAAAATAAATAAATACAAGTTCCAGTCACTGTAAATGTAGTTAGGTTTACACACCGTTGAAACTTCACAGCAACTGGTCACTCAATAATTGCTCCATTCCTGTTACAGCGAAAACCACACAAAATAAATGTGACTGTCACATGCAAAAAGTTAAACACTGTGCAGTCCTGGCAAAACCAACAGCCTGCAATTGCATTAAATCAAAAGGCGGCTGCCAGATGTGCCAACACCAACAGTCCACCACTAGAAACTATTTTTTTTTAACCATAGCACTGATATATCAGCTGTAGGTATAAGGATATAACTAAGCATCGTTGACAATGTCACACATGTGAATAAATATACAGAATACAGCCCCCCCCTTTCCCCTCCTCCTCCTCCCCCCCCCCCCCCCCCTCAAAGCTAGCAGTCATGAAATATTCAATGTAGAACATTACTGTCTGTGTCAGCAATTATTATTATTTATGTACATAAGAAAAACTGTACTATCTGGATTCAATTAAAGTAAATAAAAATCATCAGGGTCTATTTTCCTTTTTCTACCCTTTAACCCCCAATGGAGTACAGTCCTCACCAAACTCACAGCAAGTCATCTATCTTTTGCTTTCATAAGCAGCACACAACATGTTCTCCGATTATTATTTTTAATCCTTCTTGATGACTCAGTGCACCAAAGCAAACTCCCTTATGACTCAGTGCACCAAAGCAAACTCCATTCTTTGTGACACAATACACCAAAGCAAACTCCATTATTTGTGATACAGTGCATCAAAGAAAAGCTCCATTCTTGATGACTCAGTGCACCAAAGCAAACTCCATTATCCCTCAGTGCACCAAAGCAAACCATTCTTTGTGACACAATACACCAAAGCAAACTCCATTCTTTGTGATACAATACACCAAAGTAAACTCCATTATTTGTAACACAGTGCACCAAAGAAAATCTCCATTCTTGATGACTCAATGCACTGAAGCAAAAGCCTTCATGACACAGTGCACCAAATAAAAGCTCCATTCTCTGTGACAGAGTGCAGCAAAGTAAACTCCATTCTTGATGACAGTGAATCAAAGCAAACTCTGTTTTCATAACTCAGTGCATTAAAGCAAACTCGGATCTTCCTGACACAGTACAAAACAAACTCCATTCTGTGTGACCAATGCACCAAAGCAGACTCCATTCTTTCTGACACAGTGCACTAGAGCAAACTCTAGTCTTTGTGATACAGTGCACCAAAGCAAACTTCATTCTTTCTGACACAGCACAGTGCACTAAAGCAAACTCTATTCTTTGTGATACAGTGCACCAAAGCAAACTTCATTCTTTCTGACACAGCACAGTGCACTAAAGCAAACTCTAGTCTTTCTGATACAGTGCACCAAAGCAAACTTCATTCTTTCTGACACAGCACAGTGCACTAAAGCAAACTCTAGTCTTTGTGATACAGTGCACCAAAGCAAACTTCATTCTTTCTGACAGAGCACAGTGCACTAAAGCAAACTCTATTCTTTGTGATACAGGGCACTAAACTCCATTCTTCATGACTCAGTGCACTGAAGTTAATGCTCATCTGGCCGCAAATAGTTTCCTGCACAAAACACACACACACATATTATGTGAATACAGTATCTGAACATCTCGTGGACTATATGTCCGTGTTGTCATACGTGGCACATATTTACATAAAAATATGGTGAGTCCATGATAGATAAATATAAATAAGACAACCAAGGACCAACTGTCAGAACAAAACAATTGCAGTTTTCATCACAAATTGTGGACGGACATAAATTTCAACAGCAGCTGGACAGCAAATATGTTCAAATATGAAGTGATCATCATTCTTTCAGCCCCAAGGGTGTCATTATTTCCTACCAGATGAAACCATTTCTCAGTTCTAAGAGCCACAAGTAAAAACAGTGAAAAATCCCTTTTTATACCAGTGGTGCATCAGGAGCTAAGGTTAATTTAGAAAAAATCTGCCACAACGCGGATTCAAACTCAAAACATTTGGGCCAACAGGCAAGCATCTGGTCACTTTACTATGATGGCTCTCAAGCACTGAATGAGGTGTCATCAATTACTGTCTATGAATTCAAACAATCTCTCTTTTCCCAGAACCCAAATGAGGAGTCATTAATTATTCGTCATGGGTTCAAACAATCTCTCAATCCCAAAAATCACAGGAGGTGTCATTAGTTATCCCCTATGAATTCAAACCATCATTATGGAACGCCCATGAACTGTCATTGATTATTCCCTATGAACCCCATCAGGAGTTCAAATTCTCTGGGTACTCAGGGAAAGCTGGAGTAGAATAGAGGCAGGAGGAGACAATGTGAATATATGTTAAATGATCTGGCCTAAAAAAATAATGAAAGAACTTACGTATCAGAAATTATTGGCAGTAAATTAGACAGAAGGCTGTGGACAGCCAAAATGACCAATGCTACCCTGCAAGGACTAGCAGATGAAACATTTTATTAGAAAAATGTGAATACATTTTGTAGTAACAAAATCATATAAGCAATAACTTCACTACAACTGGAGTAGTTTTTCTGTAATAATAAAACAATCAACACCGAGTAGTTCAGTAGAACAGTTTGGATTTGTTCTGTAGCAACAACTAAATTAAAATATGGAGTAGTTCATTAGAACAACTGTAACTATACCAACAACTTAATTACAATATGGTGTAGTTCACTAGAACAACTCTCTCTCTCTCTCTCAACAACAACAACTAGTTAAGAAAAATAGTAGTTCCTTTAATCTCTTGTAGCAATAACTAAATTACAATATGGAGTAATTCACTAAAACAATTTTTTACACCCCCCCCCCCCCCACCCTTCTTCCCCCCAAAAATCCTTTCTCCAGCAACAAATGAATGATAAAATTTTGTAGTTCATTAGAATACTTTAACCTTCCTTCTCTGCAGCAGCAAGTGAACTACCAAATGGAGTAGCTAAGTAGAACAACTCTGATTCACCTTTTACCAAAAACTGACTGTATATTCAGGGTCTCAGATTGGTCTCAGAGAATGGTTACATTGCCTCAGCTCTGAGTTCAACTTCTCCTGACCCAATTTTTTTGTTATCTGAACTACACAGGTGAAAACTGACTATTACACAACTTAACCATCTGCTGAAAATATCACACACAGCAGAAACTCCATAGCTCTAACAACATCCCTAAGTGATATTAGAAAAACTGTACTCCTAGGCCAAATGACATACCATATTTTTCCATGTATAATATGTCCTCATGTTTAAGATGATTTCCTCCTCCCCCTCTCCCCAATTTCTCTTATAGCCCCAAATTAAGAAATAAATATTTTAAACGCATTCCATTTATAAGATGACTGTCAATTTTAAAGTGAAAACATCTAGGAAACATAATGTCTTACACATGGACAAATATGGTAGTTCGCCAGTGAACTAATGTCTTGTAGAGCAGTGGTTCTCAACTTTCCTAATGCTGTGACCCTTTCATACAGTTCTTCATCTTGTGACGACCCTTTAATACAGTTCCTCATGCTGTGGCGACCACCAACCATACAATTTGTCGCTACTTCATAACTTTGCGATGGTCTTTGGTGACCCCTGTGAAAGGGTCATTCGACCCCAAAAAAAGGGTTGCGACCAATAAGTTGAGAACCGTTGCTGATGAGCAGGAGGCTCTACAACCAAATTTTCTGAACTCTTTTCATCCATGGTTACAGATGCAGAAAGGAAGGTTACTAAAATTTAAGTAATGAGCAAAACATCTCAAAAATATTCATATTCTCACCAATATGTATTTTGCATAGACAGAAACACACATATAGCACCAGACAAATACAGATGGTGTTTAATGACAGGAGGGCCAACTTCACTGCACAGGATTTTATCCCAGATGGCTCAGTCTCCTTTCACAGAGCAGCTTGTCGTCAGTGACAGTGTTGCACAAGCATAAATTCCATAGCTCCAGCAGTAAACCCTTATCGACCTCAGAGAATGAAGGATGTAGTTAGATATCGAGTTCAGAATCTTTACAGCACTAATCATACAGCTTAACTCTGTCACCATGGAGACCCTCCATCAACAAACAGAAATAAAAAGCACGTAGAAAGAAAACCTGTTTCTGCCGACATGAAGGTATAATACCTAACTATGTCTTTTGTCATGTCTGCCATCATCCACACTTCATGAATGGAATCGTCAGGACAGGTAAGCGACGCTGGGTGTGAATCAACACATCATACAAGGTCCTCAGCACTGAATTCAGACAGTAGATTTGTTGTTAATGTTACATTTCATAATAAATACTGTAAATTACAATATGCAAGTTAAGTTTTCAAGCCTTAAAAAATATTTCCAAAACTAGAGTTTGACATATCTGACACATGTAAAATGCAAACTTTTACTATCTTTTTGTAAACAAGAAGGACAGCACTCTTAAAACACTACTTTCCATATCTCCAGAATGCTAAGCCACTAAAATTTGTGTCTGGTAAACATATTAGGTATATTAACACCAGAATTAATATAGAATAATAATATTAATTCAGTATACTATTAAAACTGCAACTTATATCACATCCAACAGCTTATATGCTAAATGTAAACACTGACTGTTCATCTGCATCAATGCTGCTCATCACCTGATGTACAGAAGTCTGCAACTAGAGGTGAGGAAAGGGGGCGACCTATACGGTAGGTATAAGCCTAGCTCAGAACTGGCAGCTAAAACCTTGAGGTCAGTTTGTATGCTAAGCCGACTTGTACACCACAATTAGAGCAGTCAATAAAGTGATTAGGTTCAGAAAGCTGGTTACTCTTATAATTTCCAGTTTACTGCGATATTCACTAAGGAAAAACCCACATTCTGCACAGGGTGAGCTCAAGAGTACTTTAACTTAGTGGGCTGCTTACTTACAAGGTTTGAACCATATCTTCACTAATCCTGGAATCTACACTTCATTAGTTAGTCAGTTAGCATTTCCTCTTGAGCCTAGGGCGGTGACCAGGCGATATGGCTGACACTCAACCCTCCTGGAAGTGACCAGGCGATATGGCTGACACTCAACCCTCCTGGAAGTGACCAGGCGATATGGCCGACACTCAACCCTCCTGGAAGTGACCAGGCGATATGGCCGACACTAAACCCTCCTGGAAGTGACCAGGCGATATGGCCGACACTAAACCCTCCTGGAAGTGACCAGGCGATATGGCCAACACTCAACCCTCCTGGAAGTGACCAGGCGATATGGCCGACACTCAACCCTCCTGAAAGAAGCAAGATGGACATTTAATTAAACTGCTACTGATGCCATGGCAACTGAAACCATGTACTGGCTGCTGAAGTTAGGGATGCAGCACTTATGAGAATGTCCCGAGTGCTCTGATGTCAACCACACCGAAGAAATATAATGAGCAAAGAGAAAGACAAAGACTATGCAAAAGATGGAAGTGACAGCATCCAGAGCAACCCTTGAGTAATGGAAACAAACTTATGCAGAGGATGTTTACCAAAAGCAGTCTGAGAGTATAATAAGCAAGGCAAGCAGAAGAGAGTACACAATGGTGGCAGTATATACAACAGGAGTCTACTGATCATTAGCAAAGGTGGCCTTTACCTGTGCTGTAGCTGGCATGATGCCTACCAGCCTGGTGGTCAACAGTCTCAAACTCATAACAATTTTAACAAACTGACCTGGTTTCCCAGGTTAGTGCAAGTTAAAATGGGTACCAAAAAATGTCCAGAGAAAGGAAAGGCAACCAGTGTAATACTGACCACATTACCCATCAAGTCCTAATCGATTTCCATTTTAAAACATAGACCCTTTTCCCATATCACATACTTGATGCTGGACTCAAATTTGTGTATAACAGTTGGCATTCAATATCATACTGTCAGCCTTTACTAACTGGAACCTTTCCTAACCTGAGTTGACCCGAAACCAGGGTCAATTATTTTCCAAATCCGCATGGTGCTAATTTGAACCAAAGACCTTCGACTCTGAAGTCGAGCACCATACATCCGATGAGTCAAAAAACATTTTAAGGTTCCATTACTTTTACTTACCAAGATATCCATTACTTTTACTTACCAAGATATCTGTTCGCTTTTGAGGGCATCAGAGTCACGGGTCAGTATGACTTTATGATCCAAGCTACACTGTTCCTGGGTGTAACTTGCTCTGTTATTGCTCGACTTAGAGGTCAGTCCCACCAGAGCTATGAAATCATCTGTCTTTTTGGAAGTCATCATTACACTTGACAGAAACTCATTTGCCATTGTAGATATTGAGTCTTCAGTGCCGTCTCCTGGACCGTTAGTAGTCTGGAATAATCAAACAGCCACTGGTGACTATCAAAAGTGATGCAAAAAATAGGGGTGCCTGCAGTTAACCCTATGGAGAGGGAGTCTTTTTGGAGTTTCAGCTCCAAAAAGACAAAGCCTTCAGGAAGGGATTCTCACAGTTTATACACAAAAAATTATTAAAAATAAAGCATTCAATTAACATATAGAAAACTATATATATTTGTGTAAGAAACTGAATGAGCTAACATAATATTTATGAATCAAACTGAAATCTCAACATTTATTCAAATTAACTATTCTGATATGCATAATTTATGCAAGCAATTTTTTTTAAATCTTGGTAACAAACATAACTAACCTAAAAAAAAAAATGTGGGTGCATTTTTTTTATTGATAAAGCTTGAATAAGTCCTAACACTTGTGTTTTGGGAAGTAAGGCCCTTGGAGGCACATCTGGCACATGGTTCTACTCATTTTCCTGCCTCCAGCTATGTTTCAGTTGCTATGATACGACAGTCCTTTTCGCCATTGTTGGACACATGAAACCCCCAGAAAAAAAAAAATGATGTAAAATTACTGAACACATCAAACTTTTTCAAAAGCCATCAATGAACAGCCCATATGTGCAAAGAAATGTGAGAAGCAATCTGATTGGCTGGTACCAAAACCTACCAGCCAATCTCAAGGCTTTTTTTACATAGGGCCGACCGATCAGCCCAGTCATTCTTTTGGCTACTTTATGTTGGCCGATATTTCAACCGCCTCGTCTCCAGAGGGTAAGTTGACATTCAGCAACAGACATTCAGCAGTCGACATTCTTCTCCTTCTTAGCATTCACCAGCCATTAACTCCAGTGGAGAGTTCTGGTTGTTTATCCACCTCTGCACTTCACTCTTGTTCCAGAACTTGAAATTTGCATGCACATCCATTTTACAGATCTTTATTTTGTTTTACTAACTTCTCTAAACATGTTGTCTCTTCATTTAGAAATATTTGACTGCTAACACAAGTATTTGTTGTAGCAGTATTCTAAAACTTTTACTTTATATTCCCTGGTCACTTCAATATGTGTGTATATTGCACAGTAGCTGTATTAGTATGGTCTGTTATGTGTTAAACTTCTAAAATTTCTAAATTTCATGACCACCTTTTGGTACTCCCATGCTATACCCCCTGCCAACAAAAGAGTTATTTGGTATTATACTAATCAGCATTTTATATAAAAAATAAGAATATATAGGAAACATGACAACATGAACTTCATGTAAAAGGTCCTAAAAAATCAAAAAAGTACAAGAATTCAAATATCTAGGAAGCATCTTTATAGAAGATGGGAGACTCGATAGAGAGCAAGAAGCCAGTGTACAGAAGGCAAATGCTGTCACATACCAGTTGCCTCACTGCTTAGACACCCAAATATCTCCCTTCCAGCAGAACAGCAAAGGATTAATATCATCTTCATCCCTACTTTATGCTATCAGTGCCAGACGTAGAGCACGGGGTAGACCAAGAACAAGATGGAAGGATAACATCAGAGAAACTCTACAACAGTACGATGTGCCTATGGTCCAGGCAGCCAGAAGAGCTAGAAACAGAACCTTATATCTCCCTCGACACCCACAGCGGTAAAAGAGGAAGCAAAGAAGAAGTGCCAGACATGGATAAGAATAGGGCACTAAAACAGAAAACAATGCATGTGAAATGCACTGTCTGTAAGGTCACTAACAATACAAGAAAGGATAGGGTTAGGAATACCAGCAAAAGACAGAAAGGAGGAATAAGACCATGTCTGAATTATACTGACAAAGAATTAAATGGTTTGGCCATCTAGTGATAATGCAGCCAGGCCAAACTGTATATGAGACTTTTAACGGCAATACATCTGGAAGGAAAGCATGTGGGGGGGGGGGGGGAGAGAACCAAGAAAGAGATGGATAAATGGTGTAGCCAAAACCTGCAAAACAATGAACAAATATGCCAACCAAGGCACCTGTAATGCGTAAAACAAATAAAAAACAAACCGCACTGGTGCACAACCTGGTGCCAGTGCGATGAACAGAACAAGAAAACAGAAAAAGAGGAGGAGGAGGAAGAAATGGCAACAACCAACCTTTGAACACACTTTGCAAATGATGTCATGAAGTGCCACAAACAGCCCATGATCCTTCTGGCAGAAGTAGTAACGTTTGTTGTTGAAGAAGCCATCATGGTTGCCAACTACAGAAAACAAATATATACATGATGTTATTGGTCAGTTTATACATGAGTAACATGAGTAATCTGGATGAAAAGTGGTCTTCATCACTCATGATGGACAAACGAATGAACATAAGTAACAGAATAAATTAGTGACTATAAAAGAATTATAAAGATTAAACAAAAAATAAATAAAGTTTATTTTTATTCAAAGTAATTCACGTTTGTATGGATATGGCTAGTAATATAAAAAATCTGGTATAACCTCTACAAATTTCCTTGTGTTATAGGCCACAGTTTTGTTGTTATCATTTGGGTATATGCTATGCCACTCTATTTAAAAGCCCTCTCCATTTGAATGATGTAAGTCAACTGGCACTTACATGTAAATTAACTGACTAAATAACAGCTGTAGGCAAACATTCTTTGCCACTGTTCCAGGTTTGAGGTACAGGACCACTTTTATCCAAACCCCACCTATTAAAGAGAATGTGTCTCCATACACCAGATTCAATTGTATTTTACAGTAAATTAATTTTTGTGTGTTGTGTTTAGTCTGTTGTGGTTTTTCTGCTATGTTTGTTTTACTCTAATGGGCTCTGTAAAACTAAAACATACTTTTTTCCAATTTTATTTTTATTTTTTACATCAGATGGTGAATGTCATGGCAGCCTGAACTGACAGGAGTCAGATCTCCCACTTTTGTGAAACATAAAGGAAGAAATGAAAAATCGTCACCGTACACCTATGTTACAGTTAACATACCTGGAGCATCAAGTTCCAGGCCAACAAACAGCAGGTTGGGCTTTCCAATCTTGTCCAGATGACCAATATAGCGAATTCTGCCAGTTTTGTCTCCCTTGACCACAACATGGTCACCAAGTTGTACCATAACCTTGGAGCTAAAGTGTAATAACATACATAAGTTTTCTTAGTTAATGTTTCAAAATAATATGTCCCTGCTGCTGCGGCTTTTTGTTTTTTTAGACCATAAGTTTTCTGTTTAAAGTTTCAGAACAATAGGTCCTTACTGCTACTTCTTACATAAGTTTTCTGTTTAAAGTTTCAGAACAATAGGTCCTTACTGCTACTTCTTACATAAGTTTTCTGTTTAATTTCAGAACAATAGATCATTGCTGCTACTTTTTTTTTCTTACTGTTCTTCTTCCCTATCTCCTCCTTATTCTTTTTCTACATCTTCTTTCCTCCCCTCCCCTCCCCACCCACATCCCTTTTGCTTGCTGTTCCTACAGTCTCGGGATGGTAGCATCAACTGGTTCTTGCATCAACTGGTTCTCATAGAGTATTCAGTATATCAGCATAATGCATGTGTCAAAGACCTACTTCACTGCCGTCAGGACAGGAAAGCTCATTGGCAGATCCATGACAGAAAAAGGTCTATTCCTAAACACAATCGACCAACACAGTGAGAGCATACACAACAATCTTTAATGCAATTCACAATAAACAATGCGGCAGTTCACTTGGGCGAAAGTGGTTTGCGTTACCAACCCAGTCACCCACCTGCCCCTACAGTACCGTACCTGCCTTACGGCTGTGACATGGGTCCAAACCAACAGACTCCTTTAAAGCTCTTTCCGACGCTACTGCGCCTTACACTTGGACCGCGGTGCTACTGCACGTCTTTGGTCAGAGGGAGTGGACAGACCATGTCACGTAACCTGATCAACCCCTCTAGGACCGCCTCGCTAACGTCTAACTAAATACATGAATACTATTATGAAAACCCCAAATCACCTACCTCTTGCTAACACAGACTAACACATGATAACTCTACTGTCACACTAACACCCTAACCCGAAACTACCTGTCTCTAACATCAGTCAGAACATAACATCTAGTGGTCAAAACAACAACGTCTAGTCTCCATGTCCGTCTCTCACCAACTCACGATCAATTCCCGCACCGAGCAATCTTGCAAAAACCTCTCGGGAAAATCCGTTGCTTCATCGCCTTTGTTCATGTCACAAGCTCACTATGTATCATCATCATCTGCAATCATCCCATAGCCACATGGGACCCTGACAGCATGGTACATCCACCCTCTGCAGTAGCTTTACCTGCAAGCCTATCAGCTTCCTCATTTCCTTGCATGTCTGTATGCCCTGGCACAAACTGATAGGGAACTGATATGTGTCAGCCCCGACCGCCTCAGAGACTCCAACTACTGTCTTCGTACCCAGTCCAACTCTATTTTCCTGAGCAAAACTCACTAAGTCACAGAGAAAACATGCACGGGTAAAGAAAGGACTCATAAAACTACACCATATGGCAAGGTCAATGATTCTACTTACTTAACAGGAAACTTCTGGAGATCCTCATTGAGACTTGTACTGAGAGCAGCATGGATCTCTCCCCCCATAGCTTCCTCACAGGCTGTACACTTACATCCATACAGTGGCTCAGCATAAAAATGGCTTCCCTGAGGGGAGGGCACTCTAGGTCTGATGTAACAAAACAGTACATTTAGTACTATCATTTATCACAGGACATTAACTATTATAACTTTCCACAGAAGACACAGTATCATAACTTATCACATTATCAAATCGTTGTAACTTTATGTGTAAATCATGAAATCTGAAATTTTTCAGCTGACTTTAGCTTCCAGGTCAACCCAGCCTAAAATAATTACCAGATCATGTCCTGGGAAGTAAAAGTAGATGGCACTGAGTGCTGATTTGTCTACAAAATTAAAGATTTGTCTATAAAAATGATGATTTGACTCTAAATTAAAGATTTGTCTATAAAAATAAAGATTTGTCTCTAAATTAAAGATTTGTCTATAAAAATAAAGATTTGTCTCTAAATTAAAGATTTGTCTATAAAAATAAAGATTTGACTCTAAATTAAAGATTTGTCTATAAAAATAAAGATTTGTCTCTAAATTAAAGATTTGTCTATAAAAATAAAGATTTGACTCTAAATTAAAGATTTGTCTATAAAAATAAAGATTTGTCTCTAAATTAAAGATTTGTCTATAAAAATAAAGATTTGTCTCTAAATTAAAGATTTGTCTATAAAAATAAAGACTTAGGTCTATGTGCCTAATGAATCACTGGTGTGAAAAGTGTCCTTCATTAAAAAATTCCTCTGGGCATTAGGCTGGCGTCTGCTAACAATGAAATACTCAAAACCCTGGGAGGAAGCCTAAAACCCATAAAGGAAGCTTTATTATCATCATTTCAATGTGCTGTTTATAAATCATTTTAGACTCACAGTCAATTCCTCTATTATATTCTTTTCTGTAGAATTGGGCCTCTGATGCCAATATAAAGGGAGGAGCATTACCAATCCAAAAGGGAAGTGGGGGGAGGGGGGGGGGGGAATTATCAGTCCAAAGCAAGCATTACGTCCAAAGGAAGTATTTTCAGTCCAACCTGGAGCATCACCAGTGTCCAAATAGAAGAACTGCCAGTCCAAAGGGGTGCACTATAAGTCCAGCCTAACCTCGCACTGCCAGTCCAAAGGGGTGCACTATAAGTCCAGCCTAACCTCACACTGCCAGTCCAAAGGGGTGCACTATAAGTCCAGCCTAACCTCACACTGCCAGTCCAAAGGGGTGCACTATAAGTCCAGCCTAACCCTGCACTGCCAGTCCAAAGGGGTGCACTATAAGTCCAGCCTAACCCCGCACTGCCAGTCCAAAGGGGTGCACTATAAGTCCAGCCTAACCTCACACTGCCAGTCCAAAGGGGTGCACTATAAGTCCAGCCTAACCTCACACTGCCAGTCCAAAGGGGTGCACTATAAGTCCAGCCTAACCCCGCACTGCCAGTCCAAAGGGGTGCACTATAAGTCCAGCCTAACCTCACACTGCCAGTCCAAAGGGGTGCACTATAAGTCCAGCCTAACCTCACACTGCCAGTCCAAAGGGGTGCACTATAAGTCCAGCCTAACCCCGCACTGCCAGTCCAAAGGGGTGCACTATAAGTCCAGCCTAACCCCGCACTGCCAGTCCAAAGGGGTGCACTATAAGTCCAGCCTATCCCTGCACTGCCAGTCCAAAGGGGTGCACTATAAGTCCAGCCTAACCTCGCACTGCCAGTCCAAAGGGGTGCACTATAAGTCCAGCCTAATCCCAACCAGTTCACCTGTGCTGTGCTGGATCCTGACAAGTTCTAGTATCAGCAATGCACATCTCCAATAAACCAGATCTGTCAACGAAATGTGCATGCAGCACTCAAGTCCTGAAACAAGTCCAGATCTCTAGATCAGCTTCTGATAGACACAAGCCTTTAACATGGCTCACATTAGTAACCCAACAAATCTATCCCTTATAATACCAACATATGTGTTATTATCTGTTTAACTATTTCAGTGCCAAGGAATGCATCATATGATCATAGGTTCCTGCCCAAAAGCCCAATCAATGCAAGATGTGCTGATTTTACATCTTTTCACTACTTTTGGGCCTCTGATGCTAAACCTGCAGGACCAAAATTGTTAATTAAAATATTTTGTCTTAAATCCTGATCTGTCGGGAGCTAAGACTCACACTTTCTTAAATGTACAAATCTTTACTCCAAAAAAGACTGGAAAGGTCACTTTAATAGAAATGCATAAATTAGCGGAAATGAGCTTTTATAAAATGAAAGACGAAACTGAAAAAGACAGGGCAGACAAATATGTGTTGCGTGCCGATTTAGGAGAGTGTAACACTGTGTGAAAGGACAGAGTGGTATGATAGTACTTTCCGGGAGTTCAAGGCAAGATCCAGTGAACAGTGTAAACATTGGCCCGAGTAGTGAGGGGGAGAGAATGTTGACCAGTAAAAAGTGTAGTGTCAGGAGAAAGTAGACGCGTGGGTTCAAGGTGGGGGCTGACAAGCATGGCTAACGAGACACACCAAGAAAGTATGAATTACGCGACAGCTGGATTTTCATGTAACATCATCCACCCACAGAATCATGATTATGAGAATGCCCACATGAGCATGAGTCTCGCAAACGCCCCCATGAGCATGATTCCCAAAAACGCCCACACGAGCGTGCTTCTCGTGTAACATCAGCCGCCCACATGGGTTCGGCAGGGATATATTGGGGCTGCGTAGACAGTCCGAGTCAGTGAGCTGCAGCCAGAGAGCTAAAGCACTAGGGAAGTGCGGGTGCAGTACACACCCAGCACGAGAGTGCTGTACATCAGAGGGAGAGTCAGTCAAAGTCCAAGGCAGAAAGAGAGAGAGAGAGACCAAGTCAGGGTCAGAGTCAGTATCTCTAGAGTGAGACAGACAGAGTACAGTGCAACTATCAGGCAAAGGTCTGAGTAAGGTCTGAGTAAGGGTTGTGGTTACTGTACGGGTCGAAGGTATAGTCCCGCTGGCGAAGTAAGACCAAGGGGCTGGATGCTCCAATGGTGACTGTTCTGGGTGACAGCGAAAGGAGATTACCATGGAAACTGAACAGTAGGGATGCTGACGAGAGCTGTGTGCTAGAGGGGACTTGTGTTAGAGGTCCCGTCGGTCATTGGAGTCCTTCAATAGGCTGATGTGCTGTGGGCACATGCTGGAGAACGAGCAAGTGAAGTCCGTCTCCAGTCAGCTGTTGTCTGCTGAAGTAATATTAAGGTCCAGTTAATAGGATAGTTTTTCTGTTCTTCTGTACAGAGACCCCAGAGCTGTGGGAAGCTGTAGACCTTAGGAGCTGTAGTGGTCAGGGGAGAGGACACTACAGGTTGAGAGAGAGAGAGAGAGAGAGTGAGGACTATGTCGAATGTCAATTAGGATCAATGTCTACATCTGCATTTGTGTCGGTGTGAGGGCTTGTTACTACCCTCTTGTGTTTTATCGAATAAACATGCTGTATGACGGAACTACTGTCGTCGAGTCCTGCTTCGGGAGTGTGGGAAAGAAAGTTTATCTATAGACACTTGGGAGTTTGCGGATCCAGTGTGTAACTCAGATAGCACACAACACATGACAGAAGAAAAAAATTACTTTTTCTCACCAAAAATTTTATAATTTTAAAATACTATTGTTTAAGACAGGAAGCCAACAAAATACTGACCCATTTAATTTCACTCGTCTGAGCTGACCATTGCTGGACTTATGGGAAGAATCAACCCTTGAAACCGTTGAAGCTGACTCTGTGTGGTTGGAGTCTTGTCGATAGTGCTCTTGTGCACATTCCTTGGCCAACTGGTTCATCTGCATCATGTGGAAAATAATACAATGCCTGAGAGAGACACATACACACACACAGAGACAGAGAGAGAGTGCATGCACACACCCACAGATACACACACTTTTTTTTCTCCAATCCTTTTCAAGCCAAATCTCAGCCTAAAATCGGTACAAGGGAATATCCTGGCAATTTTAGTGATGTGTTGACACATCAGCCTAGCATCTATTCCTGCAACCAAATCAAAGTCTGAGAGAGAATGCAGTAAGAAGGTATGCCAGATTTGATTATCCATGTTCATCTCAGAAACCAGAGTCAAAGTCTGAGAAACAATGCAAAAACAAGGTATGCAAGACATATTTACTCAAGCTGAACAAACAAATTGGAATCAAAGTCTTAGAAAGAACACAATAAAAAGATATGCCAGATTTGTTTATCCAAGTTCATCTTTGAAACCAGAATTAAAATCTGAGAAAGAATGTAATAAGAAGATATGCCAGATTGTTTAGCCAAGTTCAGCTTGGAAACTGGAATCAAAGTGTGAGAAAGAACAAAATAAGAAGATATGCCAGATATGTTTATCCAGGTTTATCTCACAAACCAGAATCAAAATCTGAGAAAGAACACAATTAGAAGGTATGCCGGATTTGTTTTTCCATGTTAATCTCTGAAAATGGAATCAAAGCTAGAGAAAGAACACACCAGGAAGAACAGGAAGAAAAGGATAGTCCACGTCTCTTTATACCTCCTTCTAATCATCCAGAAGCAGGTGAGTCCTAGCTTCTTTGCATCAATGTTTATCTGTACCTGGATTTCCTTTTAATTGTGGACTTCAGTCCTTAAACAGCTAAGTCTTCTTCTCAACATTCACCTACTGTAAACTCTAGCAGAAAGTTCTGGTTCTTGGTCCACTTCTGGACTTGGTCCTATTCCAGAATTTACATTTTGTGTGCACATACTTTTCAGAGATGTGACCTATTTGTATGCAGACTGTTAGTTCCTCGCTTCTCAGGCATGTGCCCTCCAACTTTGAAGGAAGCGTTCCTAATTAGATGCCTTGTACTGTATGTTTGATGGGAAAGGGGGAGCAGGTGGGGTTATTTTTTCCCCCCCGAGATGTGGCCCTGGAACTCAAATAAAGAAACAGCAACGTGACATTCAAGTATGTGCATCAGTGTCCTTTTGTTGTTTGCTGATAGAAGCTTTCTGGTAGTAATGTTCATTCTACCACTCGTGACTGTATTCTTGTAAAGATGACCTGCCCCACATTGTTTTTGGTTGTTGTTTCCACTGTGTGTGATGATTCACAGTAATCTTCTCCAACAGCCGTGTGAGTGATTGATATACACAAAATGCAATGTCACAAGGTGCTCCCACAGAAGAGAGGGAATTAAATGGTATGATAGAATCACTAATATTAGGCTTTGGGAGAGAACTAAACAAATTCCAGTTACTCAACAGTTGAAGAAAGGATACTGGCATTGGGTAGAACAAAGGTTGAGAAAACCTGAGAACAATATAACTAGAATGTCTCTGCACTGGAACTCACAGGGGCAAAGAAATAAAGACAGACCAAAAATACATGCAGAAGGGAGCTAGAGAACAAAATTAAAAAGATGGGGAGGAAATGCTGTGAGCTTCATGCAATAGCAAAGGATAAGACAACTTGGTGTGAGTTGCTTGAGGGCCTATGCTTCACTGAGAGATAAAGGTCAAAGAAAAAGAAAATCTCACAAAATGATGTTATAGTTAGTGAGGGTGTTGGTGTCATATTCAACATGAATGACAGTGTCACAAGATGCTGTCATAATTAGCAAATATGACAGTGTCATTAAGTTGTAAGGGCCCTTTGGGGTCGAGTGAACAGTACGGAAGCACAGATGGATCATCACGGTCTGAAGAGAATGGTACTATGAAGTGTTACCAGGGGATCTGGTAAACACTAAGCACTCAAGGGAAAGGTCAGATGGATATACAATCAGACTGCTACTAGTACCACTAGAACTCTGCGCTTGCTGCTGACTATGGGGTCGGAGTGCTTATGGGAATGTCCCAAGTGCTGTGATGTTGATTCTTTATTCAACATCAAGTGATGGTGTCACAAGCTAGTAATATAACATAAGGGATGGTGTCACAAGCTAGTAACATAAGTGACAGTGTTACAAGATGTTACCTCAGATAACATAAGCAACATCATATATAACAGTGTCACAAGCTAGTAACATAACATGGGTAAGATTGTTACAAGTTAGCAACATAACATGGGCAACAATGTTAACAGATGGTGACACTGACAATAAGAATGGCATACTCAAAGAAGGAGAAGACTAACCTCCAATTCCTTCAGACGGCATTTTAAAACTTCGTTTTCTTTCCTAGCTGACCCCAGGTCCTCAGCAAGTTTTGCATTTATGCGCAAAGCTTAAATTCACACAAGAAGAATACAAGTATAGCAAATATTTAAAATACTACTAAAACAAACATTGCAACAACAAAAAATAATTTTAAAACATGCAAATATCATCATCAACATCTACCTGACTTGATGCTTTACACCCCCCCCCCCCCCCCCACCTCCCACCCCAGGACATCAAACCAAGCGGTAAACACCTAGTGACACAAAGTACCACCATTCAGATAAGGATCACATAGGGACAGTGTCCTAAAAACCCTGTTCAACCCATGGGTTCAGTTATATTAAGGCTCCTGGCAAACAGCCAGAAATGATGAAGAGTGATTACAGAAATGATAATCTTCTTGTTCTTCTGTGTTCATCCTAAATGACTTAAATGTGTTGTGCCTGTTTACAACTTGGCTGTAATATCTGCACCTTTTGGCCGATACATCCGATTTCTGCGAGCATTTGTTGCCCGGGTAGGTCTTTCCATAACTGAAATAATCAAATTTCTGTGATGTTTTTCTCTTAACTCAACATCCATCCTTGCTGACAAAAGACTTAAGATTAAACCAGAACATCCTAAAATCTAGAAATGGTCACCTAGAAGTCATTTCACAGACAGTGACTGATTTTCGCAAACACTCTGTACAATATCTCTCTTGCATATGCTTAAAGTCTGTTGTCGATTGTTAAATCAAGGTTATTCTTGGTTATCTTAAAATGGGTAGCTTACCAATGTTGTCCTTCTTGACACTGAACATACTGTTCACTACAGTATGAACCTCTCCCCTCCACTGGGAAACTGGAGATCAGGTTCAATAACTATGTCAGCTGCTCTCACGTTCAATACCTATCTGCTTCCACAGTTTTATCATTACTCTGATCATCATCATCATCATCATCATAGGATTGCAAACTAGGTACTCCATCTTGCCCAAGGTTCTTCTGTAGGCTAAAGGAGGAAGGAGGCAAATTACATCTACCTACCCCACTACCCAACTAATTGTGTAGAATAACATGTAATAGTATTTATTTTTAAAATTAGGCGACATTCTCAGCTAAGGAAACCTATACAAACTGATTTTAGAAATTAGACAAGGTAAATGAGTTAACGAAAGTATCCCCACTTTCAATAAACTAGGTAAATGAGTTAACGTAAGTATGCTCACTTTCAATAAACTGATCCTCCAGCGGGGTGTTCCCTGGCAGCAGCAAGCGGCACTGTGTTTCCTTGGAGATCTTAGGACTCACTTTCTGGACCTCTACATCTGGCTGGCCAGTTATCTCTGGCAGCGAGTTCTTCCTCCCTGCAGATGTGGCATGCTCCAAGCCTTGCCTGCTGGTATATGCACTCCGTGGTGTGTTCATCTCTGGGGATGTCTGAGCACTGCAATGTTGCAGAGTTCCGTTGACTGGTGGTCTGGGAATCTAAAAACAAGAAGTACAAGTTTACAAGTTACACGTAGTAGTGGATCAAAGTCACATGATGGTATGTATACCAACAGGTGAGGTATCTCATCCTTGTTGTTTTCTTCTTCTTACTTGTGCTCACCGGCTGTAAACTCAAGTGAAAAGTTCCAGTTGTTCGTCCACTTCTGGACTTTAGTCTTGTTTTATAACTTGAGTTTTGTGTGCCCATCCATTTTACATAACTGGATTATTTGTAAGCAGACTGTTGGTGACTCACCTCTCGGGTAGATGCACTCCAACTTCAAAGGAAACACCTCTAGTTAATCTACTTTTATGACATGCTTTTTTTTTTTAACGGCCAGTTGGGCTATTCCTTATTGCCCCCACACGGAGGTTGTTTTTGCTGTTATGATTTTCCATTCATTAACTCTTTTAGTCCCAGCCAATGCGCCTTGTGTGATAAGGAACTGCCCTTGAGTACCAAACCACAAAAGATGGTATCTAGTGTTTAGCCTAGCAACACTATACAAACATGGCTATCTACTCTAACAACCTTAGTATTTGTTTTGCATAAAATGTAAAAATGATGCTCTCACATGTTGTTTATGTTCACTGCGACTTTCATTGTCCAACTAAATGTTCTGGTGCTTAAAGAGTTAACTGCAGTTGGCATCCTTGTTTTTTTAATATATGTAACATAATTCTGACATACTGTCAAAATTCTGAAATAAGATGAAAGTTTAAAAGTGAACAAACAACCAGAAGTTTCCCAAAACTTTGACAGCCAATGAATGCTAAGAAGAAGAAACAAGAACAGACCTCAATTTCTCAAATATATCACAGAACAGTCACAATCAATATTCATCATCAAATAGGTAAAACGTTAAAACAATAACTGGCTAGCAAGAAGGTGTTAATATCACTTACCTGACGAGCCAGTCTTGGGGATGTTCTCCTCAAAGCATCGCGGCTCACAGATGGTGAGGGCAGATAACTCTTAAAACTGTAAGTGCTCTCTAATTTTGGAGAATTACTAACAGTGCTGGAGCACTGACTGCATCTTGAACACGGACGGGATCTCTCCTGTTCAAAACAAAAGCTTATTTCATTACTGCTGTATGGAATAGCTGGTGGATAATGACAAATATCTTAGCCAATAGGATTACATGACCTGGGAGTAAAGCCTGGTGAAGCACATCAATGCATTCTTCAAAGACAGGTGACATCACTAAGTTTTCATGAGAATAGTCAGTAGATGTAACTAAGTGTGTACCATCGGAGTACTTAATATGGGAATGCCTACTGTAGAGTGACATCGATTGTAATAATACTGTAAACCCTCGTTAACACAATAAAAACACAGTTAACATGAACACAATGTTGCCCCCAGCAGGGATATATTATTCATAATACATCTATTTCCCAGGTCAACCAGCCTTGAGTGGGTACGAGGTGCAGTCCTGGAAAGTAAAGGTTGCTGGTGTAATGCTGACCACACATCAAGGGAGAGACAGAGCCCACATGGGCATGTCCCAAACACTATTATGTGGATTCTAGTTAATCAAATCAACAAAAACCAGCTGATCTGTGAATACAAACTGACAAAAAAGTTGACATTACCTGCAAACATGTGACATCTGCAACCTGGGGTTTGTCAGTAAGTGGCAGGGTGGGGCTGGTGGAGTTGCTTGTCCGAATGCTGACTGATGTTGATGATCGTAGGGCCTCCACTTCCCGTCTCAGTAAGTACACTTTCTTCTCCAAGCTGCAGATATAAAACAGGAATTTACGTAAAAACTGTGTAGTAGCAATGAGGCTGGAGTCAGGGCTGCCAAAATTTGTACTTTTGTATAAATTTAGTACTATTTGACCGTTGCCGAGCAAAACTACTTTTTGTACCATGTTTTATTACATTATTGAAATTTTATTTTCAACTGCAGCATTGTATTGAACCTTTAAAAAAAAGTGACTTTGAGTGTACTGAAAATAAGCATGGTGCAATTGTTGATGCAAATGTACCAGTTGCCTGATTGGTCAAGTGTGCTTCTGTTTCAGTTTCAAAGGCTAGTGTAGGAGTGTCTGTCCAAACAATTGGCAGATGGTTCTCTTTCTTGTCTTTTGTTGCAGTTTAACAGTCCAATTTATCTGATGCTCATGATTTTCTGATTGAAGTATATTTTGAAGTATTTTATAAGATTTGTTTAATACAATTTTTTTTCATTTTGTTAACTGGATAACAAATAATAATTTTGTTAATTTGATTAACTGTGTGTGGATACGGCTATCCATGATTCTTTTGCACTGGAATATATAAAGATCAGAGAGATCCAGGGCTGTAGATGTCTGACCTTTTGTGCAGTGGAGCACACACCAGCTGTTCTGCATTAAGAACTTGGTTTAGCCGTATGTGCTTGTGCCTATGGCATGAGAGGGGGCTTAGGTCCCTTGATCAGGAAAACCCTTCTACAATCAAGACTGTTATGCATGACCGAAGAGGCACAAAACACAACGGATCTAGAGGAGACAACAGAAAAAAAAAACCTAAGCCTACGGTGGTCCTACATGCCTTCTGGGTTGTGAATGTGGATGTCTGGTCAGCGGGAGGGGCGGTGCCAGACGTATAGACTCTATAAGGACATCCACTGCCTCTTTCCTAGCCATGCAGGCTCTACTACTTCCTGCCACAAAATAACTTTATTATATGGAATTTTCATTTTAAGAATTGTCTCAGGAGCTATGGAGCACGTGCTCTGCGCTTGACGTCATCTTCAGTGAGCAGGAAGAGGAGAAAACGGAAGGGCAGGAGATTGAGACGAAAAACAGAACGGCTGGGGTTCAATCATGTAAGAGTGTGCTTTGGGAACTGTAATAGTGCCAGACAGAGAGGGCCCATACTGGAGAGGCTGTTAAATGATTTTGATGTAATCATGCTTCAGGAGCTTGAGCAGACAAATATCATTGCCCTGGATAAGTCAGTTATGTAAACCCTGATGGACATGGGTGACATGGGCAGTGTCTATTAGTAAAGGAGGGATTAAAATGTGATGCTTCACCTGAGTCTTTTGAATCATGATGCTATAGAGTTGCAAGAAATACAGATGAAGTGATGTAGTTAACAGAGACACAGTTAGAGAAGATCTTGCAGCCACCATTTAGAACAAACATTATGAAGACATCATACAGGTGGACGATGTAAAACATGTTCTGAAAAGGGCGAAAGACACTGTACCCGGGCCTGACGGGATTAGATATTCCCACATGAGGGACATGAGCGATGCAGACCTGGTGGAGATGACTGCTTGTTTCAGCCGTAGCATTAGGACAGCTTCAGTCCCAGAAGAGTGGATGCACAGCTACCTGATTCCCCTTCCTAAGCCTGGCAAGGACCATTCAACACTCAGGGGTTTTAGATTATAACCTTACAAAACACTTTTAGCAAAGTGCTGGAGAAGATAGTAGCGGGTGAGCTACAAGAATTTTTTCAACAATCTCCTTCTACAATCTCCTTCAACAATCTCCTTCAACAATCTCCTTCAACAATCTCCTTCAACAATCTCCTTCAACAATCTCCTTCAACAATCTCCTTCAACAATCTCCTTCAACAATCTCCTTCAACAATCTCCTTCAACAATCTCCTTCAACAATCTCCTTCAACAATCTCCTTCAACAAGGTTTGGAAGTTACCAGCCAGGGGAGGAGGACACGTGGTCAAATGCAGCCACTTTTGCCTTCGATGCCTTTGAAGGTTTCCAGAACAGAGAGGAAACGGTCAAATACAGCATCTTGATGACAGCGCTTATGGAGAAGGAAGTCTGTCCTTGGTTAGTGAACTGGATAGCAACTGTTTTGTATACTCATCTGGTAGCTCTCCGACTGAGTTCATGGACATCCAAATCATGTATTATAGCCCCAGGACTACCATATGGATCTGCAGTTTCATGTGTACTGTTCAATGCTTTTACAAGCAAGACTGCAAACGTGGAAATACCTGGAGTTGGCAGAATATTGACATTTGCAGATGATGTTCTCGTATATAAGAAGGGGAGAGATCAGAATAAAATAGCTCAAGAGTTAAAGGAGACAGCAAATAAGGTGATCAACTGGTGTACAGAGATGAATGCTGTAATCAACCCAGAAAAGGCAACAGTCCTTTAAACTGAAAATTAAAAAGTGAATATCTTTTGGTACATTTTGATACCTTTTTGAAAAAATGGTGGCATCCCTGGCTTGAGTAACAACTAGGACATCATCATACTGTTGTACCATTACGCATCATAGAGGGATTGTGGTCTATTCCTCCATTTTGTTCTATGTGATCCAAACCATTCGATATCAAGGATGGAATCCAGTTCAGCAACTCTGGTTTCTCTTATCAATATTCGTTTTAAAGTTTCTCTTGGATGTCCATATTTCCACAATCCATTTGTTTCCCATTTAAGTGCCTGTTCTGGCAAATTCTCTGCTCGATTCTTCTCAGGATGTGCCCAACATAGCGCCAACTCCTTTGTCTAACAACTATTGGTACCAGCAGCTGTTCAGACATTTCTTATTTCTTCACCTGTCTCAAATTCATTCCATGTAAAACAAGGAGGGAAGGGTACGAGTAATATGTCCAATACAGATGGGGTTATCAACTTGGAGTACTGCCCATCCAGTGTTCACTACATGGATCAACATTACTGCACATTGGGCATACCCATAAGAGCTTTAAGCTTCTCCTCAGCATTTTCTTTAGTGTTTTTACTCTGAAAACTCCTGCTCTGTTCTATTAACCAAAACAGGTGGCTGGATACACACACCTAATTCTCTCCTCAAGACTTGCTTCATCGCCTCTCTAGACTAAGACTAAGGAAAGGACACAACAGATTTTGTCAACATATGTTCAAACTTTTTGGTGTAGGAACCACAGAGACGTTTTCCTGCAGTATGGTACCCAAAAATGCTGAGCATGTGCTCCAACAATGTCAACTGTATGCTGACAACAGAGACGCGATCTCGTCTGTTCCAACCACACTGAAGACACAGCTGTATGGTACATGTGAAGATATGGTCTGCACGATAGCTGTCATAAAGGCTACAGGCTTCCTGATATAAGTTTTTTCTGACAGAAGGATCAAAGAAATTCTGTATTGGCTAATATAGTGACTGCGGGCTCTTGCATGATTTTCATGTTTTCTTTCTTTTCTTTTGTCAAAATCTGCTTGTGCCGCTAGGCGTCGCAGTCTATCAGATGATCGGCAACCGAGCCAGGGCGCGCTCAGTCACTTCATATGCCATGATGTTATGAAGTCTCAAGTTGTCCGTGACTCCTTCAATCCATGTTTTTCTTGGTCTTCCCCTGCCTCTTGGTGTTTCGATTTTCATGTTGTATGCTCTTGATGCTGGCATCGTTGGTTCCATTCTCATTAGGTGACCAAACCATTTCATTCTTTGCTTCTCAATAAATTTAACGATGGGTATGGTTCCAATTTTCATGTCATACTGCTTTAATTGATAAACCTAGACTTTGCACTAGGGGCAGCTCGAAATCAGTTTCCTCATGTTCAGGTCTTCAGCCCATGATGTCTCTTGTACAGCACTATCTTCTTTCTGTCCACAGAAGGTTCAATTCCTAATGTGGTGCTGTCTGCAAAGACATCCACCCTTTGATTGCCGCACAAGGCCAAATATCTAGTCCACTACATTCAGTTAAAAAGGGAGATTAGAAAGCATTTCTCTGTAAAAATTCAAACCGACTACACCTTGAAGTGAATCAGGTTTGTAAGAGTTATAAGTTGAGCAGGAGTCACAGAAGAGTTAAACACACATTGCTTGGGAGTCAAAGAGTTAAGTATTTTGCCAGGAGACACTCTAGACCAGGGTTATTTCAACTAAGTTCACTCAGGGGCCAGAATTCTGAAAATTTGGATTGTCATGGGCCATAATTCTGAAAATGGGGATGGTCATGGGCCAGAATTCTGAAAATGGGGTTTGCCATGGGCCAAAATTCTGAAAATGGGGATTGTCATGGGCCAAAATTCTGAAAATAAGGATCGTCATAGGCCAGAATTCTGAAAATGGGGTTTGTCATGGTCCTGAATTGAGAAAATGGGGTTCGTCATGGGCCAAAATTCTGAAAATAAGGATCGTCATGGGCCAGAATTCTTAAAATGGGGATCGTCATTGGCCAAAGTTCTGAAAATGGGGATCGTCATGGGCCAGAATTCTGAAAATGGGGATCGTCATAGGCCAGAGACCAGAGCCTCAGCATAGAAAGATAATTAATTACGACACAACTGCAGTGCTTCGCAGGCCACTTGCTAGGTCTCCTCGGGCCAAATCTGGCCTGCTGGCTCCCAGTTGAAGAGCCCTGCTCTAGACATGAACACACAGCTAAACAGTCAGACACACACCTTCTTTTGGCCCTGAGCAAGTTTGCGATGTCCGCACACAATGGCACTATCCCTTTCCTGGTGCTGTTCACAACAAACGCCACTGCTCTAGCTGCTACCTCTTTGTCTTCTACAAGATCATTCAGTTCTGTGCAGCTGTCTGTAAAAAAGCAAATATATAACAGTCAGCAATACAGGCCTATGAGTGGTCTCGTGGTGTAGCGGCTAAACGCTCCCTGTGGATCAGAAGATTATGGTCAAGCTAGGTGAAAATGACAACCAGGGTCAAATTTTGGCACTCTTCTGAATACTCGCACCAAATTATTCACTGGGAAAAACATCCTGCATCACAGACCATCAGACTGGCAGGTGATAATCTAGCCACTGCGCTACCACTGCCCCAATTCTTTCAGTTTTCTTCTTCTTCTGTAATCCTTCTGTCACAAAAATAATATCGCGAGGGCACTAGCCTTGATGAAAGCTACAGTGCAGTCCGAATCTTTTTGTCCCCTTCCCCAGCAGCCAACGAACAGCACACACAGTGATGGTGCCAGACGCAACCTGCGAAAAACTCTGCCCTGTCATCTGCCCTCTCCTTTGCCCTGGTTTCTGCCCTGTCATCTGGCCACTCCTTTGCCCTGTCCTCTGTCCTGTTTTCTGCCCTATCATCTGCCCTGTCCCCTGTCCTGTCATCTGTCCTGTCCCCTGTCCTGTCCTTTGCCCTGTCCTCTGCTTTGTTCTCTGCCCTTCCCTTTGCCCTGTCTTCTGCCCTTTCCTTTGCCCTGTTCTCTGCCCTGTCCTGTCATCTGCCCTGTCAGCTTCCCTGTAGTTTGCCCTGTCCTTCGCTATGTCCTTTAACAGGTTTCTTACTATGTCCTCTGCCTTGTCCTTTATCCTGTCCTCTGCCCTGTCATTTGCCTTTCCCTCTGTCCTGTCATCTGCCCTGTCCTTTGCCTTTTCCTTTGCCCTGTCATCTGCCCTGTCCTTTGCCATGTCCTCTGCCCCATCTTTTCCCCAGTTCTTTACCACATCCTTTGCCTTGTCTTATGCCCTGTCCTCTGCCCTGTTCTGTCCTTTGCCAGGACCTCTGTCCAGTTCTTTACCCCTCTCCTGTCCTTTACCCTGTCTTTGCCTAGTCTTCTGACCTGTCCTTTGCCTTGTCCTTTGCCCTAGCCTTTGCCCTGCACACTGAAAACTGTCCACATCCTCTGCCTCTTCCTGCTGAATCATAAATCTTTCGAGGTAAGGATACTCTACTCCAATGCTTTGTCCACTTGATCCTAGACAGCCTTCAGCTTTATCACAAAGTAACTCACTGCCCAGAGCAGCAAAAGCAGCCAATCTATCAGCCTACTCATAATCTAGCGAATCAGATTATCCTCGGCAGAAAATCCGGGATATATCTGAGTATTACTAAGCCATCTGAGCCACTGTACACATAGGAGACCAGATTCTATTTTTTGAAGCCTGCTCTGTGAACCTGTAATTACAATATATCAGCCTGTACTGCTCTCCAGCCACTGGAAAGCTGCTGTTAGCCTTTTTTGAGTGCTTACTAATAATAATAATAATAATAATAATAATTATCATCATCATAACATTGCACTCAATGGCAAAAAAACATATATACATATATGTGTGGAAAATCATCATCATCAATTTCCACTTCTGCCTTTAAGCGTCATGGGGAGAAACAGTTTGCGATCCATTGCTTGATGTGTAGCGATGTCATTCTATATCGATGTAGAAGCTCTTTAATATGTTATGAATCCATCTTCCCCTAGGGAAGCGGCTCTCAACCTCTGGGTCGAGACTCTTTTTGGGTCGAACGACAATTTCACAGAGGTCACCCAAGACTATCGGAATACACACATAGTCATTGAAATTCTGAAGTAGCAACGAAAATAATTGTATGGTTGGGGTTCACCACAACATGAGGAAGTGTATTAAAGGGTCGCAGCATTAGGAAGGTTGAGAGTCAGTGCTCTAAGGCGACCTCTTGCTTTCACGTCAGATAGGGGGCATCCTGAGTGCACTGTGGGGGAGGGTGATGATAAAAGAAGCTATCAAAACCTTAAGCTAGCATGCAACGAAAGAAATTTTGATACTGATAACAGAACTGGCAGAAGCTGCTGCTTCTCTGTAAACTGCAGGCTAGACAGAGCAGAATGGAGTGGGAGTGGGGGAGGGGGGATTATTATGCGCAGTGAGTTGGTGTCTGCAGACTCATAATTATGACATGCCAGGTTTGCTTCAGCTGCACTTAATTTGGCAGCAGACTGCTGAGCATTAATTTCATCAATAGCAAGAGAGTCAAACCTAGTAAGCAATAACACATTACTGAACATATACAGTAGAACCTCGCTTAACGAGCACCTCTGATAACGAGTAATTCGCATAACTAGCAAAACAAATTGTAAAAAAAATGACTTGCTTAAAGAGCGACATTTCGCTTAACGAGTGGCGAGGAGAGGGGAAGTCCCCAATTGTGCACATGTTACATCAGTGTTTAGCACTTGTTCCAGTAGCATCGTAGTGTCGCTTGTGATCACACATTTTCTCAAACTTGTGATATATGTCATGAATCCTCCAGGCCTACAAGATGACCTCTCTGAAGAATTTAAGTTCATCAAGATCCATTTTCTGCCTCCAAACATCACTTCGTTACTCCAGCCCATGGACCAGCAAGTAATTTTTAACTTTGAGAAGCTCTCACTAAAGCACTCTTCGAGCATCGTTTTCAGGTGACTGAAGGGACCAACCTCACTCTCAAATATTTTTGGAAAAATCACTTCCACATCATTGCCTGCTTCAATATGAACAACAAGGATGGGGAAGGGGTTACCAAGAGAACCCTAACTTCTGCTTGGAAGAAGCTTTGGCTGGAGAGCATTGTTGATTTGTGACTTTGAGGGGTTCGAGACAGTACCTGTGGAATCTGTAGTCAACGAGATTGTGACTTTGGCCACTATCATGGGATTGTAGGTGGATAACAGTGATATCAAAGAGCTTGTAGAAGAGCACAGCCAAGAGCTGACCACCGAAGAGCTTATGGAGTTGCATTGTGTTTCACAGCAAGAGGTTTTGGTGGAAACTTTGTCAGAGGAGGAGGTAACAGAAAAGCAACAATCTTCTGGCGAAATAAGAGAAATGCTGAAAGCAACGAAAACTTGCATCTTACACTGACAAGCATCACCCTAATAAGGAAGTGGCTATGCGCTGCAAATTTATTTAATGATAATGCTGTGTCGCATTTTTGCCGAATTTTGAAGCGTCGGCAAAAACAAATGTCTCTGGACATCTTTCTAGTAAAAAAAATAATTTGCTATGTATCATAATTATTTCTACTTTTTTTCTGCAAATCGAATTCGTATTCCAGGTGGGCTCGTTCCGCGTTTGAAGAAAAGATGAAGATGATTCACTCTCCTTAAATATGTATATAATTTTCTTTGAATAAACGTTATACATAGCATTTTGTGAGTATTGTTTTCAACATGGAACTCATTATCATATTTTACATTAATTTATATGAGGAAAAAATGTTTTGCATAACGAGTGTTTCCCTTAACGAGTATGATTCTGTAACGAATTATGCTCGTTAAGCGAGGTTCCACTGTAACTGCCTAGTAAAATCACAAAGAGGCAAAAAAATAATGTGGCTGAAATGGGATGTGCTGTTAAGAATATACACATAATTTTTTTTAAATTGAACAAACAGTGAGTGAGTGACGTTCAACCCCACCAAGCCATCATCATGCGTCTTGCCGATTGGCGCAGGGTCTCATACATCCACAGATCATGATCCCTGGTTGCCTGGAACAGCTCTCTTGATGATATTCTTTTAATCCATTGTTTCAGCCCATCCAGCATCTTCTCTCTTGGTCTGCCTCTACACCTCTTTTCACTGGTCTTTCCAGTTGTGACATTGTTTTCCAATGCCTCTCTTCCCTTTAAGTGGCCAAAGAACAGTGTTTGTCTCCTTCTTATTGTTGTATTAGGAGATCTACTTTTATTAGATTCTTTCAAACAATCGTTGTTAGTTACTCTGGCCGTCCAAGGGATTCGTAACATTTGTCTCAGAAACCACATCTCTGTTGCTTCCAAATTCTTCTTAATTTATTCACTGACATTCCAAGATTCGCTGCAATATAGCAGAACATGTTCTATGTAACATTTTAGCATTCTCTTTCTGAATTAAATGAGAGTGACCTACTGCATAAGATATTTTCATTTTCTGATATGCTGCCTTTGCTTGACTTATTCTGCTTTTAATCTCTGTCACACATTCTTCCGTCTGACGATAATGATTGTTTCCAGATATTTGAATTTATTCACTTGATTAAGTCTTTTTCCTTCCACTGATATATCACAAGTCTGCGCAACGAACGATAATCACCCACATGACACAAAATGACACTAGTTGGATGAGATCCCCCCCCCCCCTTCCACCCGACATAATGCCCAGAAACCATGTTCAACCGTCAGATTATATTAGGGCCCCCGAAGACAGCCGGGTGGGTTTTCTAAATAACCAAAAAAAAGTGCCTCCCATATTGAGGCGGGCTTGTAAAACCAACAGTGGAGTCACCGTGAACTAAATAAGTACAAGGGAACTCCAAAAAAGCCACCAATCAAGTGGGTGCCGTCAAAGGAGAAGGGAGGCATACTAAGAGAGATGTTGGCAGTGTGGCAAGGTAAAACATCTGTATCAGAAATGACTGGCAGTGTATGTGACAGTAGGAAACTGACAGACTTGATTGAAAGTCACATAACGCAGAGTATACGAAGAAGAGGACGAGGTGATGAACGGGTGAGGGGGAGGAGGACGACTACGAAGAAGAAGGGCTGATGGGGGCAAAGAATAAGATCCTAGAGTATTCTTAATTTAAAACCCACTGCCGTAAACATGTCAGAGGGATATCAACCGACTTGATGACTTACGTCAGACTATACGAAAAAGATGGAAAAAAGCAGAAGAAGAAGACGACGATGACGAAGAGAAAGAGTAGGGGAAAAAAGTGGGGGGGGGGGTGATCCCAGAATACTGAAACTCTCCAACCCTTTGCCCTAAACATATTTACAACAAAAACCTGGCAGCGTGCATGTGGTAATAATGATTAAACACACGAGATGAAACAATCATCTGCTCCAGAGACAAAGCACCATACTAACGCACTCATCCAAACAAAGAGATAATAACCTGGCAAGGTCAGCTAGCCCCGGTGAAGAATGCGATGCCAGGAATGCCGAGTTTTTACGCGAGGTCAGGTGCAAAGATTTGGGTGGCAGCGACTCGGAGCCAGCTGGCACTCTTGAAGACGAGTATAAAACTGCGGCATGCTTGTCTTCACTACACGACTCACGCACAGATTTTCAAACTCGCACAGCCCTGGACCTGCTACCAGACGGGGGAAAACAGGGCAAAGGTGGGGGTGATGCCGTCTCCTGGAACTGCCGTGAACACGCGAAATTTATCCTTAGGAATTTTGTGAAAGCAAGACCTAGCAATCAAAGAATTCCCTTCAAGTATTACATTTTTCTTCTTTACGTGCTTTCATTCGGGCACTAAAAGTGTTGGTGTGTTGTATAAAAGCTGAGCAAGAAGGTATTCGTGAAAACGCAGACATTAATTAGTTGTTGGCAATATTGGGAAATGGGGGAGAGGTATTTATAAGACGACTATTGGAACTGGGTACGTGCGTAAAACACAAACTACACACTGTGTGCGAGTGCATTAGCGAGTTCTCGCTGGCTTCTGAACCGAGGCACTGTCTCTCATTCCACTTACAAACAGGGTTGTGTCTCAGTGTGAATACATACTATCAATTTGGGATGACAGAAACAGAGAGAGGGAGATGCACACACACACAGGGAAGAGATACAGCAGAAAAAAAAAGGGGGGGGGGGTGGGGACAGACATGAAAAACATAAATAGAAATAAAAAGTAAGTTAAGTAATACAAACAGGAAGAAACCCTGAGATAATATATTAACACATACAGAGACGGCATCCTCTCAGGGAGAAAGAGAGAGTGACAAACAGAGAGACAGGCAGAAAAACAGACAGAAAATAGACAGAAATAGGGGGGGGGGTAAGCTTCGAACATATATGGGGGGAAAAGGGGGGGGGGGTTGTTACAATTATAAATCAACTTTTAAATTAATCAAGATTTGACTTTGCTGCACTCTAAATATCCCACCTTTTTTTCAGACGCCCACCAAGAGTGCCCGTGCTTATGATGCCAGTGACCGACCGCCTATTATTTAATAGTTACGACGGTTCATTGGCGCTAGTGTCGCTTGTGTGTGAATATTAGGCCTTTCGCCTATATTTGGTCGGTGCTCTTCAAACTGGGAGAGCCGTCGAAAATCTCTGCTTCGTCATGTAACTATGTAGGGTAGATAATTTGTCTCTTCCAGAATTTCAGTTTTTAGGATTGGGGGCGGGGTTGGGGGGGGGGGGTGCGTGGTCTCGAGGTATGGTGTCTGCCTCGAGCGCTAGAGGTTTCTGGTTCAATCCCCGGTAAGGGCTTGGAGTTTGTTCCACGTGGACTTAGACTTCTAGTAATTTCCCACGGTCTCTGGCTAGTGAGATCGGACGCCCGTGTGCATTTTTGTGCACACAAAGAAATCCCTTGGCAGTTGGAAATCGAAAAGAGTAGCCTAACGGCGCTGCTCGGACAAACTTTTGAGTTTAAAATCTACCCAAATTATTTCAGGATCCTCGCCGGTGCTACAGAGCCTGTGCATTGTTCTGAGCTTCTTCGGACTCAGACTTGAGTTAGAAGAAGAACGTAGCACGTATGGGTAACTGCCCGTGTGCCATGATGTTGATCCGTTGTTCAAACTTCAAAAAGTTCTTAGGATTAACACGTCAAGAATGAGAACCGAACGGGTAAAAGTGACATTCAACGTGACAAGTGACATTCAACGTGACAAGTGACACTGATCGTGACAAGTCAACAGGTGAAGACGCAAGCTGGACAATTTAATCCTCATGAAGACAAGAAAAGCTGATCGATCTGTCTTCTGATGTTAGTCTTGTATCTGGACAAAGCATGCACTCACTGTCTGTTTTTTGGATATCACAAAAAACAAACAAAAAAGATCCACGACTAAGTTACAGAGCAATAAGATTGCTGGTATTTTTTTTTTTTTCTTTAATTAATTCATATTTTGTTAACCGATTTTCTCAGCACTAAGAGTAACAAAATCCAAAACACAGAAATCGAATTAATCTCACTGCAGGGCTTTATCTATCATAAATACCGCTCCAGCGTTTTTACCCCCCCCCCCCCCCCCCCCCCCCAACAGGAATTAACCCGCAACCTTACCGAGGAACTGAACCTGGGTCTCCAATCAATCAACCACACACACCAACCCCTCATTCAGCCACAGCCACCCAACTAACTAGCCAGTCACTGGAAGAACTAACCAACCACCCCCCTCGCCCCTTCTTTCTCTCTCTCTCTTTCTCTCTCTCTCTCTCTCTCTCTCTCTCTCTCTCTCTCTCTGTGTGTGTGTGTGTGTGCGTGAGTGTGTGTCGCGCGCGTGTGTGTTTTCGGAGTACGTGCTCAATACTATGGTCCACTCTGTCCTGACTGCTGAAGACTGGGACAGAGCTCTTATGGGAATGTCCCGAGTACCATGATACCGGTTCTCACTCAACAGTGAAAAAGAAAACTCTCTGGCCGTCGACTCGCGATTAACCGCAGAGCTCATAATGAACATCTTCACTGTACGCGCTTGTTGAACTTGTTCGGTCACGTGGCCCAGAATACCAGTTTCACTACAACGCGCTTCTACAGTCCGCTCGAATAGTCGTGCCCTGATGAAACTTTTAACAAATAGGATACCTCGAAAACTCCTGAATGGAAAAACATGAATGTGTGCATATAGTCTCAGATTTGTCATGTCCTTATGATTCTATAATTAAAACTTACACAAATGCTATTGCTTTCTTTCAGCGGCGAATTTCTTTGATCTTTGCTGGTCTAACAATGTGTGCACCCCTTACACACACACACACACACACACACACACACACACACACACACACATACACACACACACACACACACACACACACACCACACACACACACACACACACACACACACACACACACACACACACACACACACACACACACACACACACACACACACACCACACACACACACACACACACACACACACACACACACACACACACACACACACACACACACACACACACACACACACACACACACACACACACACACACACACACACACACACACACACACACACACACACACACACACACACACACACACACACACACACACACACACACACACACACACACACAACACACACACACACACACACACACACACACACACACACACACACACACACACACACACACACACACACACACACACACACACACACAACACACACACACACACACACACACACACACACACACACACACACACACACACACACACACACACACACACACACACACACACACACACACACAGAGAGAGAGAGAGAGAGAGAGAGAGAGAGAGAGAGAGAGAGAGAGAGAGAGAGAGAGAGAGAGAGCTGTTTACAAATCCTTTACTTGATAACTCCAATGTGGAGACTGTTTTTGCAAATCATTTCACATGTGCAGCTATGCATGGTAATCATTTTGATAAACTACATCACTCAACAATGAAATATTGTCTTCACCTAGCTCATGGTGGCTTATGCAGGAAATTGACCATCTGAGAGCCACACATCTTTTTTTGCACAGATTCTAAAACATGTGCAATTTGGTGTTTTTAACAGTCTGTATCACTCTTTTACTGCATAAATGCTAAATAAATGCTTTAAATTGCATACACCATTAAAATAAAGTAAAAACAAAAACTGGATTTTAGTTTGAACTATAATTATTTTTCTACAAAGACATGATTATTAACTGGCTGCATACAAAATTTTAACAATTTACACTGAATGCTTACTGAGCTGTCGATTTTTAAAACTGGGCACGACTTTTTAAATGGACTATAACAAATATTCTAACACAGGCCCGAAGTGCTTCCTTCGCATGCTGTTGTGAACCAGGATCTGAACTAACGCTGTGTGGATGTATTTTCAGCTGGTACTTGGAAGACTATGGCTGTTGCAGAAAAGCTCGGCAGACTGAGGAACTTGTACACGTCTCACCCACACTGGACTACAGTACTATAGGTTATTTCATAACTGTGCTGAGGGTGTCCCAATATATATGGCTGTGGTGCTATATGGTATTCCGGCTCAACTGTGTTTTAACAATTTGTAGCTGTTCCATTCTCATCCCTTAAATGACACTTAAATGTTAGTCCTAGAATCATGGAAAGGGGGCAAAGGGGGAGGGGTGGAATTTGTACCGGTCTGATTCTCATCCCTTGAATGTTAATCCTACAGACTGCAATCCTGGAAAAGAAAAACTAAAAACAAGAAAAAAAAACTTATGATCAGCAGAGCGCCAAAGAACATTATGACAGGATAACACACGTGTAACTGCTAGAGGACTACGATAGCATATGTCATCTTACATGACACATGGTGAGGATGCCTTCACCGATCACATAACCCTGTAAAAACTTGTAATGAAATTTTGGTGCTGACTTAAAGAAAAGTCAGTTACGTCAGGTGCCTCAGATTATTATTCACCATCGTATGAGAGAATCACCAAACAAGCACTAGCATGGAGAATAAACTGACTGATGAAACCTGGGCAAAACTTTAAAAGAAAATAAACTGACTGATGAAGCCAGGGCAAAACTTTAAAAACAACTTAACACAATTAATGCTACCTACATCTTTTTTGGGCAGTAATGTAGATAAAGATGGAGGAAGTGATAAAGAATATTAAAATACAAATATAAAAAGCAAGAGGAGATTTTTATTGCACTAGAAAATTTGTGGAGTCAAAAGAAATTAAAACTAATATTAAACTTACAATTGTTTAATTCTAATGTCAAATCAGTACTGCTGTATGGAGCAGAAACATGGAGAACTAAGGCAATTACTAATGAACTACAAGCATTCACCAACTGGTGCCTGCGCAGAATAGAGGGAATGCAGAGCTTTGAGAGAGAACTAAACAAGTACCAGTAGACCAAGAAGTGAAGAAAAGACGCTGGCATTAGATAGGACATACGCTGAGCAAATCTGAGAACAATATAACTAGAATGTCTTTGCATTGGAACCCACAGAGGCATAGAAATACAGGATGACCAAAAACACATGGAGAAGGAACCTAGAGAATAAAGTTAAAAAGATAGGGAGGACATGGGGAGAGCTGCATGCGACAGCAAATGTGGCGGGAGTTGGTTGAGGGTCTATGCTACATTGGGGGTTATAAAGGCAGAAAAAGAAACTATCTTTTGTTTCTGTGCTTAGTTAGGTTGTCACGCAAAATAAGTTCCTCTTTTTCAGTGGGCCGCTGATGTAAACAGATTAAGGAACACTGGTGTAGGTGACGTGTAGTGTTCCCTCTAAACTGTGAACTGTAGTGACAAATGTTCCCTCTAAACTGTGGACTGTAGAGACAAATGTTCCCTCTAAACTGTGGACTGTGGTGACAAATGTTCCCTCTAAACTGTGGATTGTAGTGACACATGTTCCCTCTAAACTGTGGACTGTAGAGACAAATGTTCCCTCTAAACTGAGGACTGTAGTGACAAATGTTCCCTCTAAACTGTGGAATGTAGTGACAAATGTTCCCTCTAACTGTGGACTGTAGTGACACATGTTCCCTCTAAACTGTGGACTGTAGAGACAAATGTTCCCTCTAAACTGAGGACTGTAGTGACACATGTTCCCTCTAAACTGTGGACTGTGGTGACAAATGTTCCCTCTAAACTGAGGACTGTAGTAACAAATGTCCCCTCTAAACTGTGGACTGTAGAGACAAATGTTCCCTCTAAACTGAGGACTGTAGTGACACATGTTCCCTCTAAACTGTGGACTGTGGTGACAAATGTTCCCTCTAAACTGAGGACTGTAGTAACAAATGTCCCCTCTAAACTGTGGACTGTAGTGACAAATGTTCCCTCTAGCTGTGGACTGTAGAGACAAATGTTCCCTCTAAACTGTGGGCTGTAGTGACAAATGTTCCCTCTAAACTGCAGGCTGTAGAGATAAATGTTCCCTCTAAACTGTGGACTTGTGACAAATGTTCCCTCTAAACTGTGGACTGTGGTGACAAATGTTCCCTCTAAGTGGTGAAATGTGGTGGGCAATGTTTTTTCTACACTGTGAAGTGTGGTGGACAATGTTCCCCCTGAAGAGTGTTTTGCAATGTTCCTTCAATACTGTAAAGTGTGGTGGACAATGTTCCCTCTGAAGAGTGTTTGGCAATGTTCCTTCAACACTGTAAAGTGTGGTGGACAATGTTCCCTCTGAAGAGTGTTTGGCAATGTTCCTTCAACATTGTAAAGTGTGGTGGACAATGTTCCCTCTGAAGTGTGTTTGGCAATGTTTCTTCAGCACTGTAAAGTGTGGTGGGCAATGTTCTCTCTAAGCTGAAAATCGGTACAACAGGGGAAGGGGGGAATTTTATGAGAATTGTGCTTAAAGAAAGATAATGATGGAAAATAAGAGACAGTATTTCCACAGGTTATGCCCAAGAATATAGGACAGTATAACACATGACATTCCAAAAGCAGTATCTGCTACACGGCCACTTTTATACAGGCTGTCCCAAAAGCTTCCATTCAAAGGAAAAGAAAACATTTCACCAATGCCAAACACCAAACAAAACTCCAGCTTATACTGAAATAAATTTAATTGGTTTGCCTTTTTTTTTTTTGTTACTCTTTTTTTTGTGTGTGTATGTATGGAAACTTATGGAATACTGTATTTGTGAGTGCTTGATCATGCCTCTATGTGATACAGTAATTTGCTCCCACAGATATGACAAACAAATCTCTAGGATTCTTGTCTCAGTCTGTATAAATAAATAAGGCAGCAAGTAAGCAGAGTCCTGACTGACAGAAATTACTGCACGGGTGCCAAAACCTTGTTGTGACTCAAGTTCCTTGTGGCCTTAAAAACAACAAAATTATAAGGAGGGTGGCTAACACCCCCCCCCCCTTCCCACACACACCTTAATTAAGGGCTAAACCTTATCTGTAAAGAGGAGGGACGCTCAAGGTGCCTGAGACTCCAGGTTCCACTGCACCTAATCTCACTCCTCCCCCCCCCCCTTCACACACACATTTATAAACATACAAATCTATCCCCCTATTAAGTTTTAGTCTGTAAGCTTTCACAGTATAAATCTTGATTGGAATCCAGTCCAGCATATTTGGCCTCTTATCGACGTGCCGCCTAAGGTTTCTCCCCTTCTTTCCTC